GCTCGTGCATCCACTCGTTATTTTCCTAACACCACTCTATATGTTTTCCCCATCTTCCGCTTGAATTTGCTTCGACATTCCAATCTTCATTTCGCTCTTTTATCCAAATGGGCAACCAAAAGACAGCAACTAACAGCGGTGCACGAGAGTGCATGGTTAATGTTTGTAAAAACTGACTGAAAATGAAACTTCATTTGCTCTGTGCACGATGTGATGTTTGTTTTTCGTGAGAATTCTACTCGTGTTTTCACTGTTTTCCTGGCTGCTTTGTTAATCTATTTTCTCCTTTTATGTTCCTTTGTTTCTCATTCATTTATCCACTAGCTGAGTTTGCTTCAGTCATGCACAGAAAAAGCTAAAGCTAAACTACTGAATCAGCGTAAATCTCGTGTGACCGAACTACTGATGCGTATGAGCCGGAATTCGTTCCGGTCCGGGGCTCCCATCACCAGCAGTTATGTGTCACTGACCTCACCGAAACAATGTGTCCTTGAAAGTCAGCTGATCACTATTCCACAATTACTGCGGCTCTGTGGAACACTGGAAGAACGAATTCTAATCAACTGTTTCTCGTTGGAAGTGAGTGCAGGATGACACTTTGACGCTAGTGTTGTTTCCATTCGTGTAGACGTTCTCATCTGTACTTGTCCGTCAATCCTAGTGGTTTATCACCGTTGTCTTTGCGTTTCACATGCCATAGGGTTTTCATCTTAAACGGTTTTCAGGTTCACGTGATCAATCGTCTTTGAATAAGGTATCTGTATAGTTCATTATTTGTTATGTAAAATAAACACTTAAATTCTATTGCAAAACCGTGTATAAGAAGCAACGTGATAAGCCTTTTTTGAAGGTAGTTCGATTATAGAGTTCCGCCTCAATCTAGAAGTCGGTCAACAACATTTGCAAAAATAATCCCAAATAAGCCAAATCGTCCAGCNCAAACAGAGAATACAAAGTTTAGAGCTCAACAGAAGTATTTTTACACATCTATCTCCTATTTTTTAGAATGAATCGAATTTATGGATAATACTAGTAGAAGCGGTTCAAGCACTGCTGTCAGGGCGTCAGATCGATACTGACTACTATTCATTTTCGGTTCCATATGCGCCAGCAGTAGACTACCGATTAGAGGGCTAGGCTCTCTGTGTCGGATTTAATGGTGCTAGCCCATATTGTTTATTGAAAACAGGATAGTAGCAGCATCAGGCTGCGCAGGGTTTTGAGTGTCGGCAGTGACTCTAGAGTTTGCTTGCTGATCGCTACAGGATANATAGCACCAAGTCATTGGAGAGTGACAATTTATCTACTTCTGTAGACATTGTTGCTTAACTTCGACGCTGAAATTTCGATCACGCTTTTGAAGTTTCGGAATAAGACGAGTGGTCAAAGATCTCTAGTTTCCAGGCGTCTCCTTAATTCGTGGTCGTCCGGTTTCACAGCTATATTCAACCACGAGGTTACTGATCGCGCGAAAAGAAAAATGCGCAGATTGATTCGACGAACGTTTTCCTCTCTGTGTCCTGAGTGATTTATGCAATTGGTTGTTCTGGTTCATCCCATTCACACTCTGATCTCGTTCTGGGCCTGACTGTTTGGCTGTGCAACGGATCTATTTGAAATGTTTAATATGCGGAATGTGGAATTCACACCGAGGACGACCAAATCGTCCCAGAATCTCAATTTGGGGATCCAATCTGTGATATTTAACCCGTGCACGTCACGTGATATGGTCTACCTTGTAGTTGTATAGGACTGACGTTAACCAGTGTCCCTGATAAAATCCACACTTGCGCAGATTCGTGTACGTCTGTTGTGAGATTCCGTTTGTCCGGGCAACCTGCCTGTTCACTTCAAAAATAGTCCATGTTGACCGAGTGGAAGGCTTTGTGGAAATTGCCGAAGAAGGCTCTGATTGTAGAGCTGCTCCGAAATCTGGCTTACCAACGCGAAAGGCACACTTTTCTTAGCAGTCTTCTGATAAATAGACTAACACAGACCAGCTGAAATCCATTCCATATCTGTCTATACTCCACTGGTCTTTCTTTTCTTCTTAACAAGCAAAAACAAAGATGTCAGTTCCGTTTCGTTCAAAGATCTCATCGAAACTAGTGAAATTTGTGTGAAATTTTCAAATCCTTTACTTTCGACTGATCTCGGTACGGTGAACTCCCACTATAGTTGTGGAATGTGGTTCACGAAATCCGTCTAAGTCATTCGTAAAAAAAATAAGAAAGACAACGATCATTCTGTGAGTAGTTTCCGGTCATAAAAGTACGATCAAAAAGTTGATAGAAACATGTTGATCTGTCTCGAAGTGATAGCTGCCAGCAAAGAATTTAAAAACGTTATGCTAACAGACTACTCAAAAGTAAACAAGTAAAGTAACTGTACTACGTTCAGATTCCCTCGGGGCGCAGTGATTTTCGTTTTCGCCTGACNAGCAGGCAAACGCGAAATTTCTCCCATTAATTATTCATTTTGATCTACTATCTTCGCAGTAAGACAAATCCATAGGTGACACCATCTGCCTCAAAATACTTTCCTTAAGTGAACGGGTTGGCGAGCGAACAGTGGTTTTCCGATATTCCTAGTCACACGCAATCGTGATCCACTTACGTATCAGCATCTAAGCGCTTTGAGGGAACTCAGGAATACGCTTTTTGATAGAATAAAACACTTGATACGCGTCTCGATGATGGATGGATTGGTAATATAATATAATATAATATATGTTATAACCGGGAATGCATGGATTTGCTAAATCCAAGCCTTGATGTGGAATATCAAGTCAAGTCAGTAGTAGTAGTAGTTTATTATGCTGCTTGTTCTGGAGCTGGAACAGGTACATTTTCTGGTGCCGACCTGGTCTCGGTGCACTAGCCTCACAACCGGATGCTCACCAAACCAGAAATAAACAGTGTATTACTCGGAGCTGTAACGAAAAGTCAAGCTTAAATTATAATACCCTATTTTATGGAACGTGTTGCTCACAGTCTACAAAGAAAATAAGTGTTTCATAACTCAAAAAAATTCTTATGACCCGATATAACTCAAGTGTTTCACTATTTGATTCGATGTGATATGCGGATTGTTTGAACAAAGTTTTGATTGATTAACCCATTGACTATGGATGGTGAATCCGCCTGTTGTTGTTGTTTGTCGAATGAAATCGCTTGTGATTTTTAATTGCAGTTATCTCGTGCCGGTGTCGTTCACGATGGGGTTCGCTACGATGAAAGTGGCTACCTATCTTCCATTCGACTTATCAGGTGAGCCTAATTGTGACGCCTATTTGTCTATGCTCACTAATCTTAGTGCTCGTTTCTCTGTTCCCGATCCGAGTCGACTTCGTCCATTCACAAATTAGAACTCGTTTAGCCGGACCAGTCTCATCCTTTGCAAGGAATCTATTTGAAATCTTCACATTAGGAAGTCTCCGTCGGGTTTACGTGATATCCGTTTATCGGCTAATCTCCGATCACATTCGACCCTGGTTTATATTCGAATCAAATCACAAGAGTGTTTATCAATGTATGATCTCCAGAACAGTGTTCTGTGTAGACAGCTTTGTGACGATTGATGCTAATAAAACGAAATGGTCACCCTGCACTCATTTCCAAGTCTCCAGGGGTTTAATGGAGTGAATAGTTTTGTGATATCCGGATACTTGAGATTGCACCCACCGCCTACCTCGACAAACATCGAATGCCGAGGAGGAAGTCTTTCAGGTGGCGAGAAACCCATAGGCGATTTGGATCAGAGTAAATTATTTGCGGTTTTGACAAGAAGATTCACCCCCTCTTCTGTGAATCAGTAGGTCGACCAATTGGTATCATCCGGTTGTAGTGTCTGATAACCTTTCCATATTGAGCCCAGGAGTTCCGTCAACTCCGAGACTAAGACTGAACCTTCATCTTTAAATCGAATGGAGATAACCTTTCCTGAGCAGAAGCCCTATACTCTTTAAGGTAACTTATTCTGCACGTACATTCCTTTTCGGGAGACAGACTAGTATTCTTTGATGGAAGTGGATAACTGAACCAACGTGCCGTCGAACTGCTAATTTCTGTAAACTCGTACTCCTAATTGGATAGAAAAGGTTGTGATTGGTACCAATAACCATACTGTTCGGTCTGACTGCAGGAATTAGCCACAGTCTTCCACCGTCATTCGTTTTCTCTATGGTCTTCGCTACCTACATATTAGCGTATTCCACTCTGGTCTAAGTCCAATGTCTGTTTCAAATCAATCACACTGTTACAACCATTACAATAAGGAAATCAGTCCATAGTTTGCTGATGGACGGAGTACGCCTAGGTTATGCAGTCCGAAGCTTTTGGCTAACCACAGCCAGACCCGCAAGGCAGCAGTGCGGTGTGCGAGGACTGCAATTTGTCGGGGTCGGTATCCAGTTCATCAGACCGCACGTCGTTTGGACTTGATCGAACATTGGAACCTCCCAATAATCCTGTGATCACCCCCAGAATCATGATGTTTTGAGTATGGTTCGTACACCCCTTTGGTTGGTTCGGAATCAGGGTTTTTTGCTAACTGTCCTGAGAGAATTGTCAGTGATTCACCGGTCCGGTTACGGCTCCGGATATTGGTGCCGCGTGGCGGTAATTAGTAGGGCTTTATCAACAGATGTTTAGGTGCTCAGTGGTATAGGAGCATTTCGTGAGATACACGGAAGGATGACCACTCAAAATATTCATTCTCAACCATACGCAGGCTTTCTTTGCCCTCCGTTTATCTCGCTTCGCCACTCTTATGCAGCCGTGCTTTCTAAATTGCCACCTCATAATTTCCGTCCTTTTGTGGTATCGTTTACAACCAGCATCCCATTCAATCAGCCATCATGGCAATCCTCCGACGTGCCTCCACTCTCGCAATACGTCCGTGAACTCGTGCTTCGCCCGCACTTTGATCCGTTCACGCATCGACGTAGTTGGCAATTGGACATCCCATTCACCGGATTCTTGGCTCGTCTCAATNCGTCTCAATCGAACCCAACCAGATTCGCAGTGTCGACCACTTCGACATCAGACAGCCGAATGGTCTGTAGACCGACTGGAAGATTTCACTGTGGTCGTGAAGAATATTTTAAATGAGTGGGACAGTCTGTGCTGTATGCATGCACTGTGCTATCACATAGTAAACAATCCAGGTAATTGGTTTTTTTTCTTCTGTATACTCTCATTTCGAAATTGCACAGCAATCTAATTCGCGACATTAAATGCTCTAAAACGAATCGGATGCCTAGATTAGATCAGTCCGTTCACTCGCATCTGATTCCAAACTCTCGTATTGCTTCATCGGACAACTTGTCAGTGACAGT